GCTTTTCTGGAGGTAGATCTTTGTTGACTTTTTACATTTCAAGATGTGCCTTCTTTTGCTGCATTTAAATCAACTACAGAAATAGGATGGGATTAGTTGGAACCCGAATAATTGACCAGATAACTAGAGGTTGTAAAACCTGCAATTATTTTTGCACCAACCTAATAAAAAGAAATCACAAAGCAAAATTTTCAACTGGCTTAGCTGCAGGCAGATATAGATCATAGACATAGATTTGGATTTTAAATATGCTCATCTCTATCAAGCAAAAGAATACGGAAAGAGTACCCAGAGATCCTGCCCACCAAAAAGGCCATAAAGAGTGCCAAATTTATAATATTCACTGAGGATAACTGAATTAGTCATGCTTGGTATTTCTGATATAGCACATCAGGGCATATAGAATACTCTCTATATGAATAAATAGAGAAATATACCTGAGGAAAGAGACAGCAAAGATAGAGGGATCCCTGGGGCACAAACAAAAGATACTTATAGTTAGAGAAAGTTCATTTTTTTCTTATTTTAAAAAACAAGTTATTTAAGATTTTGCATGAAATGTTTCGACTTTCCCTTCAGTGCAAAACCATTTTTCCCTCAAACGATTTACCTAATAGACATGAAGAACTGCTATCAAGGCTTTGCTCATGCAGTTATAACAGTGAGAAAATTATTTTACATCAGCTGCTGACAACTAGTCCCCCTCTCAGGGGCACATAATGAGAGAACTGTCAGGCAGATGAGTGTCCAGTGCGGAAATATTTAATTAATGAGCTCTTGTCTTGCCTCTAGGTAATTCTTCACAGTCCTAAGGATAGAGAGAGAGCACCCTCTGATCAATCCAGGGAATTAAAAAAACACACACATTCACTGCTGAAAGAATTTCAGTTTTCATTTTTTTTAAATCCAAGTTACCTATAAAATTTCATGGACTTATTTTTTTTAACATGCTTAAACTTTTAAAAGAGGAGACTGCCATATGATCTAGACTTAGCATTTCATATTTTAGATCTTAGGTCTTTAAGGAAAAATATAAGAGAAAGCTACTATGAATTCATTTCCACTTTTAATAACTGTAATTTGATCGTTTAAACGGCACTTCCATAGATTAGAAAACAGTAGCGCAATACATGGGAGATATTTATTCAGTGCATTCACAGTGTCTGCTGTGTGTTCTAGAGCCACAGATCCCTGTAATATATTTCCACAGTCCCCAATTTTGGAACCACCCCATACTTAAGACTGGAACAATGCCAGGCTGCTCTGGAATCCTGCTTTCTTGTATCAAGGCCTTTTGACTCTTTCTTGGAGAATCTTAACCTCTGGTCATGAGCTTGCATGTTCCCTTTAAGAATAACATATAGCATCTTATTCCTAGAAAGAGTTTCTTCCCTCTGTTGTTGCTGTTCTACAACAAAAGACTGGGGCTTGAGGGCAGGTGGGGGAAGGGGGAACTGAGAAGGTGAGGTGGGGGTGCAGAGTGGAATTCAGGGAGGTGTCACACTAAAAGCCAGATCTCTGGGTTTCTAATGCAATGCTCCCACCTTTAAACTAAGTAAGCAGAGAAAGCATTAAAAGAGTGGCTGGGCCTAAGCGTCTCCAGGATTTTTCCATCACCATTATTCCCCTTGTCCACCAATCCACAACCCACAAAAAGTTATTTTACTCCTGGTGAGATTAATAGAATACGTTATTTTTTTAATCGCACAAATTTGTGGGGTACATCAGACATTTTGTTACACATAATGGGTACTGAGTGACTCAGGGTATTTAGGGTGTCCGTCACCTGCGTACAATACATGTTTGTTAAGCATAATCATCCTACTCTGCTATCAAACATTGAATTTATTCCTTCTATCTTACAGTATGTTTGTGGCTTTTAGCCCACTTCTCTTCATAACAGCATATTTTAAAGATAGAATCCACCATAGTTGTAACTCCTGGAAACTGACTCTGGCTTCTTCTGGTATATTTTTAGCATGTTTAAATCAAATTGTAATATCACTCTCGACTTCATCTAATATTCTAGAATTCCTAAAGATTACCGGTATCCATTTTTGTAATATTAATCAATTATCTACTTAATACATTTAGAACAATATAAGATCGTTCTATTTAAGTAAAGGCTAGGGATATTAAAATTAATTTTATAGGAGAACATTCTGAAGATTATTCTAAAAAAAATGAAGATGATCACCTGACATGACAATAAATTAACCCTGTGTAAAAATATTGGGGCAAAATGGAAGTTTATAATTTATTTAAAAAGAAAGTAAGAGAACATTGTATCTTGTAAAGCATTAATGAAAGCCTCTTTAGCAAAATATGACTAAAGAATTCAGGCATATCATTCGCAACACAAAAATACTGCAGATCCTGTACCTACTACAAATGGCATCCAGGTGACCAAGGCTGGCGTTCCCAGAATGTCACCGTGTCTGGTGTCTGTTTTGACTGGTCAGCATCCATGCCATGCTAATTATTAAGTATTTTAATATTATTCTTGCAAGTCTCCCCAAAATAACGTCAGTATCTATTCTGTTCCCAACGGTCTTTAGCAACAGTTGCAAAGCACCCTCCTGCTACAGTAAAGAATTCTCCTTTATATCAAATCTAAATTACTTCTGTATTAGACAGAACCCTTTTAATTGCAAGTAACAGAAACAATACAAATTAGCTTGAGCATAAAGGGACTTTATTGGCTTGTGTTCCTGGATAGAGCTGGCCTCCAGAATTCAAAGTACATCATCTAGTCATCCTTGTTCTCTCTCCCCCTTCTCCTTTCCTCTTTCTGCAGATCTCAATGAATTGACTTCCTTGCCTCCTCCTGAAGCCAGGCTTCCCCTAGGTATACGAGTTGGGAGCAGGAGAACAAAATTCCATATAGAAATCATATCTAGTCAAATCTGGATCACATGACAACCACTCCTATGAAGAAGGTAGAAGGAATGTGATATGGAAGGCACTGTCTTTGGCAACCCCACACCCAAGCAGGATGAGGAAGGGAAGGAGTCCTGCCACTCCTAGCAGGCCTCACATCAGCAGAATTAGTAGCTGGTGAGAAATGCAGAATCTGGAGCTGCATCCCAGACCCACCAAATCAGAATCCAGAGTTCAACAAGATCCCCAGCTGACTCCCATGCACTTTATAAATGGAGAAGGTTTTTCTCCTGGGAAATGTGCCGTGAAGGATGACATCATTACAGAAAGGGGAAGGAGGAAAAAAACAGATGTTCACTCACACACAACTGTGATGCCACGCAATTTCCTTTTGCCTAGTCTTCAGTAAAAATGATGAACTAATTATTATTCTAAGTATCACAAACATCAATACTCATTTTAAAAAACAGGCCAGGTGCAATGGCTCACCCCTGTAATCCCAGCACTTTGGAAGGCTGAGGCAGGCAGATAACTTGAGGCCAGGAGTTTGAGACCAGCCTGGCCAACATGACGAAAACCCATCTCTACTTAAAATACAAAAATTAGCTGGGCATGGTGATGCACGCCTATAGTCCCAGTTACTCAGGAGGCTGAGACATGAGAATCACTTCAACCCGGAAGGCAGAGTTGTAGTGAGCTGAGATCATGCCACTGCACTCCAGCCTGGGAGACAGAGTGAGACTCTGTCTCAAAAACAAACAAAACATCTGTAGATCTCCCTATAGTTTCTTGTTCTTTAAAATTCCTATTCTCCTTTATCAAGGCTAGCAGCTAACTTAGCTATTTTTAGTCTCACTTTTTATTTTAGAAATTATTTGCTATATAATGGCCAGGCACAGTGGCTCACACCTATAATCCCAGCACTTTGGGAGGCCAAGGCAGGTGGATCACTTGTGGCCAGGAGTTTGAGACCAGCCTGGCCAACATAGCGAAACCCCATCTCTACTAAAAATACAAAAATTAGCCAGGCATGGCAGCATGCACCTGTGGTCCCAGCCACTCAGGAGGCTGAGGCATGAGAATCACTTGAACCCAGGAGGTGGAGGCTGCAGTGAGCCGAGATCGTGCCACCACACTCTAGCCTGGCTGATGGAGTGAGACTCTGTCTCCAAAAAAAAAAAAAAAAAAAAAAAAAAACAGAGAGAGAGAAAGAAAGAAATTATTTGCTATATAAGGATTGTTGTTAGGAGGAAATCAACACTATAACTGTTTCTGTCTTTGACCCTGGTTAAATTACTCTATATCCTACCAGCATACCTACTTGCTATTGATAGGGGTAGCACAACCTAGTAGTTATGAGCATGGATCCGAAGCTAGGGGCTGGTGTAAATCATGATCTGCCACTTACTAGCTACATTTCTTACCTCTCTTACCTTGATTTCCTCATCTGTAAAAGGGGCTCATCATAGTTTTGAGGAGAATTAAGTGAACTAATATTTGTGCCTGGTATGCAGTAAGCACTATGTATGTTTTTGAAACAAATAAACGTTGTTGGAGTGAAACCACCCAACATATCTCTAATGCTGCTTTGTGACTAATGGATTAAGTGAGCACTTTGAAAATATATATATTACTTGAGTGATTAAATTGCCAAGCTTCCCATTTCATTTACATCTTATTTCCATTTCTAGTGAATCACTCCTTCTAAGCACAAGGTTGTGAAAGGAAATCTTCTACACTAATAATAGCATTACAAGCTACTATAACCAAGGCTTACTTACATGATATCACCAAAGCTCCAATAAATTTCTCAATTTAAATATTAAAGTAAAAATCAGTCAATGATCTGTTAGCTGGAAATACCTGGGGTGAAAGAGTGATTACCACTAAAAAATAGATTGAAGCCATTGTTGCTTTTACAGCCTAGAGAAATGCAAAGATCTGTTATTCTAGGTAATTTACTTACTCTCTCTGCCTCCTTTATGGGCTGCTGGAAAGATTAAATGATTAATGTGTGAGAAGTGCTTAGAACAATGCCTGGCTCAAAGTAAGTAATCAGTAAATGCCAGTTCTTATGATCACAGGTATTCCGAATATAGGTTGTGGCGATCAGGAGTTATGATGACCATGGCAGGTGGCAATGCCCCAAAGTGCAGAAGATGTCAATTCCTTTTCCACATCCCCAGTCAACACGCACATTCCTCTCCACAACCAAGAGAAGTGGGCATTAAAGAAAGGAAGGGCAAGAGGAAAGACAATTCTAAAAGATCACCAAGGCGTACGGTCTGAATTATTTGGACTAGTTCTGCTGTGATCTTAGCCAATTGACCCTCTGCCCTAATTTCCCTACCTGAAAAAAGAAGGCCAATTTATTAAGGGCTTTTTGATGCGTGGGTGAAAGAGGCTGTTAACACTCGAAAGTATTATAGATTAACAATCTTTCTAACCATTTTAAATATTAGCAAATGTTCCAGCTCACAAAGTGCCATGGTTTTAGTGGCCTGGAAAACGCTGCAATTTGTTCAAACATCAGTGGGTGTTATTTCTGGATGTTAATCAGTACCATTTACCTTGAGAACCTGGAAAATGTGTGGACTGTGCAAGTGCGCCATCTGCTGGTCCTGGAGACTCTGCGCCGCAGGGCAGGGATGCTTGTCCAATGAGGCCGGCACAGGAGCTCCTTGGAGAGCAGCAAACCAGGCAAAGCTGTTCCCACCACCTCAGGTCCTGGTGCTGAATTATCACAGTGAACACGTTGCTTTCCCACAGGCAGATGATGTGTTTGAGAGGGTATGTGTATGATCTTTAAATAGTTTTGTTCTTTGTGCTTACATTATCATCTAGGAACAAAAGATAATTTATTGCATCTCAGAAATGAAACGACTCTGAGATAGCATCTATTTCAAATGCCTCATTTTACACGTGAGAAAAAAATGTGGTCCAAGAGTCAGACAACTTTCCCAAGTTACTCAGCCAATAGTGGCAGGACAGGATCCCCAAAGCTCCTGCCTGGACACTTACTCTCACTACCTTGGAGAAGGTGAAGGAGGGCAGAGGAATCTGCCAAAACGAAGAAAACTTCCCAGCCAGTGTCCTGGGTCACTGTATACATCTTACTGACATGGGCACTTTAGCCATAGTTTGCAAAGAGCTTTAACTTCTCTTTTTATACCCATATAAAAACTTTCACCTCTGGTTGTAGCCAAAAGCCAAAGCCCTTTTATGCCCTATTGCACTTATGAAAGGGGAAAAATACAAGTGAGGATACTTTATCTTGTGATTATTTTCACTTCCTGAAAAGCCAAAGATCTAGCAGTTTAATCATAAAGTCTGTCCTGTCATTCAGCAGCAGATGCCAACCTCTTGCCTGGCAGCCACCAGAATAGACACAAGAACCCAACAGGTCAGAAAGTCTACACTCTTATTTCTCTACCAGAGAGAAGTCTCTCTTACCTTATACAGGCCAACTATTGTTTTTTCATTGGTCTTAGTCTAATACTGACATATTTGCCTGGGTCACCTGCCAGTCAACCAGGAGCGCTCATTCAGCCAGGGTGTGGGTACAGAGAAACTCTAGTGCCATCCAACAGAGGGCAGTAGTGCACAGACACATAACCACCCTGCTTAGCTCTCCCCTATCAGAAAAAAAGGGGGTGGGGGGCACAGGTGCATATTCTTGCTGCTCTGACTGTGCTCTGAGAGTGGAGCCAAACATTTTTCAGACGCCAAAATCAATCTTAAAAGTCAATGATCTGACAAGGACAAATATTAATCACTAATTCCTGTTTCCCCCACTTCACGATGCTCAGCTTCATACTCTGCCCCTGAGCCTCCCAAACCAAAGTTCTTTTACCACGTCACAGAGACACAAGCCTTGGATCCATCCGAAAACAAGGCTGACAAGTTTCTCACCACCTAGCAACACAAAAAACTCTAAACACAATCCAAAGAATCCCCAAGGGAAACAGCTTCAAGAATCTTGAAAATCATACCTATTTTTGTTTGTAATGTGTGAAATTATTACAAGTATGTTCACCAAGAGGACTATTGATGGATGACTCACAATTTAGCTAAATTCAATGAACCACACACTGTGCCTATCCCAGTAGGTGACTCATGCATTTTTTATTTCAAGTATCAAGTGTTTGCCAAAAACAGTATTTAAAAAAAGTAATGAAAATTGTTCTGAAAGAGCTTATGAATAGGGTAGGACTACCCACCGACAGCCTCATTTGTGCTCTGACCACTTACATGGGATTTGGTGGGTGTGCTAGAGCAGTGCTCGACAGAGAGTGCGCTCCCCACAGCAACGCTGGCAGGCGGAGGGCAGGCTCTGCAACTCACCACGCGTGGTTATCTCCCTCAAACCCACGTCTCAGCAAGGACTCTAAAGCCCAGTGATGTATATGTGTTGGGGGGGGGCAGGTACATATAGGTTTTGCTAAAACATAGTAAAAATAAATGCATACATACATTCAATTCCTGTTTGTCTTCTATTGAGCTTACCATTTCTCCCCCTACCTTTTGTAATTTAAGAAATCTAATTATCAGAGAAAAATGGAGGGAACGAAAGGTCACTGAGCAGAAATAATTAAAATGATTGCTGGTGAGGAACAGTTGAGGGGTGCAGACTTTATTCGGACCACTAGTGTTTTCACGTGCACCTGCTACTAGGCTATTCACAAAACCCTCGGTAAGATTCCCCCTTTCTCAGCCTGCTTCTCTGACCAGTCAAAGGAAAAGTTTTTAGGTCCCACTGACTTCCAAAAAAACCCTCAGGTTCACTGACCACCTGATAATACCCTTGTAAAGCTCAGAAAGATATTACTGCCTACTGATTTGGATGTTTTCATAAATATTTACAGCTTTGTGGTATTTCAAGGGGAAAGGATTTTCACACTTACAAATGCCTTTTCCAAGGATGTGAGGATGAGACAGAGTTCCCAGTGCTGTTAGTATTTATTGCTAAAGCTTACTCTTCTTTTAAATCACAAACAGTGACCATTTTTCAGGTTATGTGTTGACTTTTTAGTTTGCTGATCATTGCAAATTATGATGAAGTGTACACTTTCCTTTAAGGTCCCAGGAGACTTTCCTCCCCCCACGCATTGTGGACATTGCTTCTTTCATAAGCAGGTTCTAAAAAATAAGTGCAGGAGGAACTTAGTTGGCTGACCCAATGCTTTGCATTATATGGTCACTCCTTATAGGTTTCTGATATCTTGTTGCTTAGCAACATCTACACAGATATAATTTCCATCCGGTAGTGAAATCTAGTATTTTTGGCCTCTGTCAACATCAAGATAAGCTGATATCTAGAGACCCCACACAGCCAAGGATACTTGTTGCTATTTTAAGAGATAGAAGAGGCTCTCTTCTTCTTGCATGCCTCTTCTCTCTTCTGTTTATTAATTGCTGCATGACAAACTACCCCCAAAACATAGTGCCCTAAAAAAACTCCTCATACAGTCTGTAGTTTGCCAAGGCTCGGCTGGATGGCTATGACATTTGATCCTTTATGCAACTGCAGTAAGATGGCAGCAGGAGCTAGAGTCTTCTCAAAGCCAGACTAGGCTGGACATCCAAGATGGCTTCTTCCCTCAAGTGACTGGTGCCTAGGCTGGGATGGCTGGAGCAGCTGGAGACTGGGCAGACATCTCCCTTGCCACAGGGCTAGCTTGGGCTTCACAGCACTGGCTTGCAGGAGGCAGGGTGGGTGGAAGAGGCTATGGGACTGATCGACTCATGGGAAGGGATATGTTATCACTGAGCCTTGTTAAGAATTGCTTGTGCATGCTGATAATAAAAGGAAGACCAACTTTTAGTTGGTTTTAGCATACTTTTTAAATTCTTTATAGACAATGCATCCCTTTAATCTCTGTACTTTTAAGTGGACCATTCCCACTGCCCCCAGCCTTGGTACACCACTGCCTCACAGCATGGCTGTTCCAGAGAGTTGGACTTTTTGCCTCATGACTAGCCTCCCCCAGAGCCTTCCAGGAAGAAAGGCAAAATCTGTGAGCCTTCTTATGACCTAGCCTCAGAAGTCATATAGCACTGCACCCCCAGCACTGTGTGGGGGCAAAAGCAAGTTGGGAGGACCATCCTAGATTCACGGGGAGAAGATCAAACAAGTATGAGTGCTGGAAAGGAGGCTTCCCTGTGTGCCATCTTTGGAGATGAGTAACCACATTCTCCATTACCACTTGCTCCATGTGGTTCAGAACCACATGATGATTTAACCAAAGCTGGGGTTGACTACACTTCAACTAACTGGAACCTACTACAATAGTAAGTGACTTTGCTGAAAGAGATTTTGAATTAAGAATTTCACTGAGCCTTAGGATCCTCTGATTGAATTTTCCTTAACTATTTCTTGCTGAAATAACAGAACTTCTGGTACATAGGGCTGGCCTACTGCCATGACTTCTGAGTCAATCAATTTAACTCATCTTAGCCTCAGGCCAAAATTCTCGCAAATGGCTATATTCATACTCAATTCCATTTCTCACGTGTACTCATCTGACCAATTGGGAACTTTCCAGAGCCAGCTCTGGAGTCATAATTCAAAACTTTTCACAGAGGTCCTAGGCCAGCTGTGAATAGAATCTTCAGGTTTCCTGAACCCACAAACTATAGCCAACCTGGATGTCAAGACCCTACAGGCTTAACTATTTCTTAAAATAGCAATAGCAAGCCCTTCTTATGAGCCAGACACTGTTCTCTGCTTTACTAATAGTAACTCATCTAAAATTCATAACAACACTATGGGTAGTAACCATTATTATTATTTACAGATGAGGAAACTAAGACCCAAAGAGGTTAAGGAATGTGTCTTAGATTCCAAAGATAGCAAGTAGAAGAAACATTACAGTCAGATTCTAGAACCCAAGCTCTTAATCATCACGGAATGATACTTCATAAGTTGTACAGTCAGTATGGCTGGCAATAAAGGACATTTATATAATTATGCACCATATCCTTGAAAAAAGTTCTTTTAGTCAACAAGTAAATCAGCCAAATGTCTTAGACATTGTTTTAGTCCATTCAGGCTGCTATCACAAAATACTATAAAAGGGCTGGCTTATAACAACAGGAATTTCTCACAGTTCTGGAGGCTGGGATGTCCAAGGTCAAGGGACTGGCAGATTCAGTGTCTGCTGATGGTCTGCTTCCTGGTTCATAGATAGCACATTCTCACCACATCCTCACATGGTGGAAGGGATGAATGAGTTCCCTTGGGTCTATTGTACAAGATTGCTAATCCCATTCACAAGGATTCTACCCTCACAACCCAATAACCTCCCAAAAGGCCCTACCTCCTAATATTATCACCTTGAGGGATAGAATTTCCACATAAAAATTTGTAGGGAAGGAGACACAAACATTCAGACCATAGCAGATGTACTAAGGGATACTAATGATATTATTTGCTCCCCCAACACAAATAGTTCAATATGTTCTGGGAGAGGCAAGACTAACACCCAAACAGTAAATGAACAGTATCAGATGCTACCATATGTAAATAAGACCTGAACTGTGTGGTGATTTAGACTGCAATATTCAGCTGAGGTCAGAAAAGATATTGTGATGCTGGACACGGCACTTTTCCATTCAGCCAAATCACAAAACTTGTATTTTTTTTTCACACATGCAATGTCATTCATGCCTTACGGTCTCTGTATAATGACATGATTAATACAGAGTGGTCCACTGAAAATCAGATCCATGGCATTACACAGCAGCCTGCCTTCAGTTGACTTTCCTCACGAACAGGCTATCACTCTGTACTCTTAGGATGTCATGAAGCAATAACAAAGATGAATTGGTTTTTTAGATGTTTTCACAGGGGGCGTGACTTACTGTCCCAGAGAGCAGGTTTCTTGCAGAGGAAAAGCTGAGCCCTCAATTGATTCCTTTACTGAGGTAGAAGTGTGGATTGTCTCAGGGAATAAAGCACCCTAAGGACTATCATATTCCAAGCTCCAAATCTGGCTCTTGCCTTAGGCTGGTCACTTAACCTGCAGACAGAGCAAAAAACTAAGGGTAAAGAACTTACAGGTAAATAACAACATTCAAAACATATTTTTCTGTGGTACAAAAATACTAAACAGACACTGCATTTGGGTGAAAACTATCCTTCAAGAGAACTGACCTATTCAAATATATCTACTTAACGGAATATTCTGGGTTCAGAATTGAGTGTGTTTTAAATTAAGACCCATATTTTTACTAATGAAGCACGAACTGAAAAAAACAGCATTGGGAAGAGAAAAATCAGATGTGTAGCATGCAAGAAGACTGCTTTGCTGCCTCTGCGGGGGAAATAAAGTTATGAGCATCATGCTAAAATTCAGTTAATTCATTCCTATCACATCTAATAGGACTACTTGAAATCACAAAGTGTCAGCAAATAATGATTCTTACTTCAATGGTAAATAAATACCTGTCACAATGATATTAAATTGCTCAAGACTAGACTCTGAGAGCATAATAAGTTGTTGCAGATCTTAAACTTTGAGCAAGAGCATATTTCAAAGAAATACCTTCTTTTAGGAGGAGATTTAAAAAGAATCAGTTATATTAACTGAGACTTCCTTAAAAATGAATTCAGCAAAGGCTGCTTATTGTTCTCTGAATATCTGATTAGCACGGACAGTTAATAGTCAAAATTCAAAATTCATCAACAGATTTTTATGACAACAGCTATCTTAACAGCAGACCTTTTAATATTATATCTTCAATGGCTTTTATGAAAATCCCCAGTTACTGAAAAATATATACTATTTTTCATGAGATTAATTTAACAAAAGTCTATCTCAAAATTTTTGAAACATTAAAAGATTTCTCACAAAGAAATCAGAATAGAGCTGTTGCAAAAACAGATAAAAAATCTATAAGATCACCTAACCTATTAAAACAATTATGTAATTGAATAATTTCTTAGTATAATAAACAAAATTATGTGTTCCTGATGCCATTAATTGTGTCAGCCCAATTAATTAACACTAGATACTATACGGAAAACAATCTATTTATATTTAAATTTTATAAAAGAACAAAAATATTTTTATTTTAAATTCCCAATAAATACCACACACCAATGGTCTTAACTGACCTAGTTTTAGCTAAAAGTAAAAACTACACTTAGGTTCAACCACAGAAAAGAAGAGGCCACTTTTCTAGATTAATTATTATGCTTCAATTATCTGGGAGCCATTAGTTCAGCTCTCATAATTCTAGGAAAGAGTTCTATCACCGTGTCACAGAAACCTTAAATTATATTCTAGTCCACGCTTAGAATTGTCTTACTGTCTCTTCCATACTTTTAAAAGCTGCATTCAACACTTGTCTTTGTGGTCTTTTGCTAAGGATCCGGGAGGCCTACAGGTCTGAACAAACACATTGTGGTCTTCCAACTGGTACCTGGCTTCTGCTACTGGATCTGCCAAGTGACTCCTCCCGTGACTCTGGAAGCCTTGAAAAACTTGGCATCATTCCTTCATCGTAGATTAACAATAACTTTATCCATCTTCTTTCCCACAACTATGGGAAAGGCTCTGAAAAAAAACAGAAATCATAACTTTGTACCTAATTTGTGATTTTTTTGTAGAAGGAAGTAAAGTTCTCTAGCAAAATTAAAGTAGAGATTGCACAATCTTTAAAATACTAATAATCATAATCTCAGCAATCTCTTTGCTATATTTAAAAACTTACAGGAATTTATAATAGCCTCAAACTGGAAACAACTTAAATGTCCATCAACAGGAAAGTAGATTCATACAATGGAATATTATTCAAGCATAAAAAGTATGAACTACTAATACATAAAACAACATGGACAAATCTCAAAAACATTATGCTGAATGAAAGAAGCCAGACTCATGAGAGTACTCATTGTATAATTCCATTCCTATGAAAGCCAAATACAGGTAAATGAATCTATGGAGCTAGAAATGAAATCATGGTTGCAGAATTAGGGTAATTTACTAGAAAATTGCACAAGGAAAATGGCAGAGGGTGGAAATGTTCCATATCTTTTTAAGGGGTGATATTACACAAGTATATATAATTATCAAAAATGTGAGCACTTAAAATCTGTGCATTTTATTGTACGTTACTTATATATATGTTAATAAAAGAATCTTAGCAAAATGTCTCCTACAGGAGTTACAATTTGCTAAGGACTCTTCCTCAGACCATAAGAATTGACTGAGAACTAATAATAGTATTAATCTCTGGGAGAAAGAAATGGGGACCAGGATTAGAGGTATTGGTCAAAGGGGACTCTAGCTTTATCTGTAACATTTTTCATCAGTTTAGCAGCTTGCTCTTTTCCCTTTTATCTAGGAGATGAGTTTATATTGGTATATGGAGCTGCCACATTATTTTTTAAGGTCATGTAGTTGTATCAGCCGGAGTTTATCAGGGAGGCAAAACCACTTAAAGTTATGGGCTGAGAGAGATAGTATAGAAATGAGACCTTGTACAAGTGTTGGGGGAGCTGAAGAAGTAAAGATCTGGGAGGGAGAATTTGACATTTCTGAAGAGTTGCTAGTCAATATGAGAAGCCCCTACAGTACTTCAGGCCACAAAGCGGTTCAACAAAGGGGAAGCTGGGGGGAGTCTATGGGAAGCTGTTTCCTCTGTGAGTCTCTAGCAAGGTGCCAGTCAGGAGGAGAAGTTGAACATGGGGCAAAGAAAAGTGAGGGCTTGCCAGCAACCACCAGCCTCTCTGAGTCTGTCTCCCATCCAATCTCCATGCCTTTAAGAGAGTAACAGGTGCTGTTCACTTCCATCTTGCAGATGTCCCACTAATTCCTCTTTTGGCCAATTCTCACTTAGAATCCTACAGGAAAGGATTCTGGGAAACATAGTTCTAAGTTTTACCCAGTTAACCTGGTACTGGTACAAACTACCATGATAGTATTTCTTTGTACGGCTTTACTGTAATTTAATCAGTCACCTATTGATGAGCACTTGGGTTGTCACTGAGCTTTTGCTGTCACAAATGGTGTTGCAATGAATATCCCTGTCAATTCCCTCCCTCCACACATGCAGGAAGGCATCTGTAGAATACAACCCAGGTGAGGATTGGTCCAACTTGATCCAAATGTCCGTACCTAGTCCCCCAAAATTGGACCCAGCCTTGTGGGTGCTCACTGTAAGAGTCAGAGAGTAGGTACTGTGGCTTACTCTGTAGGTATTATGTAGGCACTATGTATATGGTACATAGTATATACTATGACTACTAGGTAATTTTGGCTCCCCCAAAATTACACCATTCAAGTAAAGGAAAACAGTTCCCAAAAGCAAAATAAACAGTTTTTATAGATTGAGGTTTTTCACCCTCAGTGCTGTTGACATTTAGAGCTGAATAATTCTTTGTTATCACAACAAAAATATCCTCTGAAAGGTAAACTCATACGTACACCACCACCCACCAATTGAGAACCACTGGAAAAACAACAGATTTTAAAATTTAGAAGTAGAGCTAAGTCATTTTGCATAATAGAGAAAGAAAGGACTGGGGTTTGGAGGTGATAACATAGGTAAAAAGGGGACTGAGTATGGTGGCTCACTACTGTAATCCCAGTACTTTGGGAGGCCAAGGAGGGCGGATCACTTCAGGCCAAGAGTTCAAGGCCAGCCTGGCCAACATATCAAAACCCCCTATACTAAAACTACAAAAATAAGCCAGGAGTAGTGGCAGGTACCTGTAATTCTAGCTACTTGGGAGGCTGAGGCAGTAGAATCGCTTGAACCTGGACACGGGGGTTGCAGTGAGCTGAGACTGCACCACTGAACTCCAGCCTGGGCAAGAGAGGGAGACTCTGCCTCAAAAAAAGTGGAGGGGTGGGGGTTAAGAATATTAAACAAGGAAAAACGTAATTGAGAGAAGGAGTCAGAGAGAAAACAGCTCACAAGATAGGAAAGTAATATTGGACGTTGGAATGTGTCCAAAGAGGAACTATTTTTAAATTTTTGACATTTTAATTTTCCCTCAGGGTCTAAGAACAATCATTTCAAACATTGTGTTAATTTTTTTCCTAATTTTAATTATCTTCCTTATCCTCAGATCTTCAGGAAAAGTTCTCTACATATAACCACCTTATCTATGTTACTGGTACATTGAGGAGGTGTCCAGAGACAAAGAAACAAGATGGCAAACGCATGGACAAGATGCTATGAGGGAGTGGGATTCAGAAGAATGTCCCAGAACATAACACCGCTGGGAATCCACAGAAATACTGGGGAAAAGGCACAGTGGACTTCCCACTTTCCGTGGATGGGGTCTTCACCCATTTTAAGAGGCTATTAAAGGAAAAATTGACTGCAGGAGGCAGGTCAACTTGGAAACATGGGATATATTTTTTTTAATTTTAGTCATGGAGATATGGGAGGATGCATAGAGGCCTGGTATATAACTAAGAGCAGGGACTCCGGAGTCAGAGGGTCTGCGTTGGAATCCCAACTTTGCCGCTTATAACCATGTACTTTTGTGCAAGTTATTAAAGCCTCTGAGACTCCAATTCCTTCTCTGTAAATAGGGAAATAATAATACCTACCTCATAGGGTTGTCAAGAGGAGTAAATGAAGCACAATTGTAAAGTGGATGGACAAGAGCTTAGCGTGTACAAATTGCTGTACAAGGGCTTGTTAAATCATATAAATAAATATGCATCAAAATGTTAACAGTGATTCTTTTGAGGAATATTATTATGGGAGTTTTGAATTAAATTTAATATTCACCTCTGAATTGTTTAAATTTCCTACAAAGAGAATGTATTAATTCTAAAATCAGGAAAATATAATAAAAAGATTCCCATTTAGGAAGAAATGCAAAGTATCCATGAGAATCTTCATGATAAGCATCAGAAGCAAATTCTTTTCTACAACAAATGATAACAATCTACTGATTATAAAGTTTTCTGTTAAAATATAACCCCTATGTTTTAAAGAAGTTCAAATCTGGACATGTGTCCAGCTCAAGATTCAACTTATCTATCATCAGAAGACAAGTAAGACTAATGAACACATTTGTTCAGGCTCTGGTTCAATGATAAGAGTCTATTACCTTCATAGGACTCATTAGTGTCTGTCTGTAAGAGAGAATATGCTTGAATCATACAAATCTTGCATTTCTTAAACAGGGACCAGGTTCATTCATTATGGGTGAATAATTAAAACTGCTGTAGCTGTGTCTTTAATAAGAGTATCATACATCTATAACTATTATAGATCTATAATAGAATTATCAATAAATAGGACTCTGCCCTCTTATTTACACTTGGAAACAATAGCGATGTGCATACTGCATGCAAAATGCTCACATTGGAGGAACTTTAAAAATCACAATGTAACTCAGCTACATCTCTTACATTTTTACACAGGTTAAACTTGGTTTAACATAAAATCTACAAATATGTATTACACTTTCATGCTGTGTAAGAACCGTATTCAGAGATTCCCAGGATTTAAAGGCATGCATGCTATTGTTCTTGCCTCCTGGGTGGCTTGCAGTCTACTTGTGAGGACCACACATGTTCTTTGGCTGGTGGGGGCAGACAGGAGGGAGGAGTAGGAAAGGGACTTGTATTAGGAGACATTCAAATCTTCTTCTGCACCTACTGCAAATACCATCTGTCAGCCTATCCTTTCCCTCTTCTGTAACTCAGGCTAATCGATTACAAAAGCAGTAATAGACCCACCACATAGACAAGTGTGGGGCCCAGGAAACACTGGCAGTTTTGTTTTCCAAGAAGTAGACAGTGCAAGACCCCCGCAGCTTACATGATGGGACTATAGAACATCTAGCATAGAAGTCCCAACCTGCTATAACCAATAGAGGGGAAGGGAGAATTAAAGCAAGGATAGGGTGCTACTCCAAACTATTTTATGGACCAACACACTGAGAGTCCTTGCCCAGCCACGGGCCTCCATCTTTTAGCAAATGTATTCCTCCCTCATGATGGAATTAATTTCCCCCTTCCCAACTCCAACCACATGCTTACAGGAAAATGTGGCATGTTCTTATATGATCCTGACCTTCTTAGTCACAGCTGGCAACCAAGGCTGAGCAGCCACCTGACCCAGCCAACCAGAGTTCTCCCCTAACTTTTTTAAAAAAATGGATCTGGGAGAGTCAGTCTGTCTCTCTGATAGAAGAAGCTGTAAAAGGGGAACTCCCATGTAAGGTGTCAACAACCCCATTAACTGCCAAGTGGACAAACCTGGTCTGCAGTGGGAGAAAATAGAGCCAGCACCAGGAGAAGTAGAAACCAAAAAGAGAGACAAAGTCCTGACAAGCTGGTTCCTGGTTCGAGGGTTCCTGAGGCCCCGCTGCATTCCTTCCTGCTCCGCTGGTGACTTGGTCGTCCTACTCTTCTTTCAGTCATGTCAACTACCCCAAGACCCTTCCATTAAATATCCCTTTTGCCTAAATGAGTTAAATAAGGACTTCTGACACTTATCTAACATCTAGTAACTCAAATTAGTTTTTCTCAACCCAAATAAACAATGGAATAATCCTTAAATATGGCTTGGGTACAGACAGCAT